AAATCCAGATGGACATTACAACCAAATGGGAAGTACTGAAGGAAAAATTATTTTTTTTTTTCCCAAGAAAGAGACATCAAACATCACATCGGAACATTTAATCAAGACTGGCTTGGAGGGGAACAGGGAGGGAGAGTGGGGAAGGTGGAATGGGAGAGAAGGCAGGGAAATGGTTCAGAAAAGGAGTCTTGGAATTTTCGTCTCACCTTTCACAACTGGTGTGATATTGATCCCAACATCCCAACGAGTCCTCTAGCCGATTTCCTAGACCCCTTTTCCCAGGCTGGTATGCCACTGGTTCCAATCTCATGGTTTGCGCAAGATGTTGTTTGAATCTATCAATCTATCAATAATTCTTTTATGCTTGCTACCCAAAGTATGTATCAGTCTCAGAAATGAAAGGAAGGTTGTTCAATCTCACTCATTTGAGTGTCCCATCAAGGCAACAACTTAGGAAAGAGACTGGAAGTGCTTGTTGAATTCGTAGAGCTGGCGCCCGATTAGGGTGAAGAGGCACAAAAGTCTCAGTCCCTCATTTAAAAAAAAAGATTAGATGCTAGGCTGTGTGCTCGGCGTCTACACTCTTTGGGCGAAAATTTCAGTCCTCGATTGATTATGTCCATTTGGCGCCCCTTCAAGGTGAAGAGGCGCAAAAGTCACCACTATTTAGTGCTAGGCATAATAGCATATCTGGCACCCAATTGGATGAAGAGGCAAAACTGTCCCCAACAGTCTCGTTCCTTTCAGCTTCAATTCTGAGTTCTGTTCACTACTGATGATGTTAAGGGACGCTGGACCCGGTTTCCAGCAGGTGCATTATTGTTGATGTTAAGGGACGTTGGATCCGGTTTCCAGCAGTTCAAAAAAAAAAAAAAAAAAAATAAAAAAAAAAAATCTACGTGACCAGGTGGAGGGTAGATGGATGAAGCACTTGAATACTAGCAAGGAATCACTAAAATGGTTCCAGCTCGTTAAGACGAAGCCTGCCAAACTGGCCTCCCTCCAATGGCAAATAGAGCATCGTTGCCTACCAACAAATGATTGGCTAATAGATAGGACATCCTTGGAACAAAATGGGCGGGCCTTGCCCTGGTGCAAACTCTGTTTACATTCTTTTCCAACCAGGAAAATGCCAGAAACCATAGAACATATCTTCTGCAATGCCCAGGAGCAGTCCTACTTTGGCGCTGGTGGGACAAGATCTGGGATCAGCTGGAAGTAACGAAACCCTGGCCATGAATTGGCAAGCACTGTTATTAGAAACATGGAATACAGAACAGGTGGACGACTTCACCCACAACATGTTTATACTGGGACGTAGGGCGGTGATATGGGCACTGTGGAAACGTCGCTGTACATATGAGATGGAAGGGGTAAGGTTGGAGGGGCCCAAGGTTGGAGGGGCCCGAATTCGCTGAAAGCATACAGCAGCAAATCCAAACAGAGATAACAATTCACTGGGAAGAAGTTAAGACCCAGATCCAATACACGCACACACGACAAGAAATAGAACACAAACTACAAGATTTCTCTGAAAAATGGCTCGGGGGGAAAGAAGGGGGAGGGTTAGGAAGGGTAGAAAGGAACCCCGGGAGAGGCCAAGAGGAACAAAGGTTGTATAAAGATTATTGACTGATGTTTCATGAGTGGACCAAGGTGGACCCCTCAATCCCGATGAAAACAGCGGATAACTTCCCCGACCCCTTCCCCCCCCCGATCAACAGTATGGTGGACTTGCAGTGGTATGGGTGTTAAGGAAGGAAAAAGGAAGTAGATATGGGACAAGGGGAGGGATAAGGGAGCCTGGGTCAGAGGGAAAGTTGGCCTGGGACAAAGAAAGTGTTCTGATCAAGGGCGGGAAAGGGGGGATCTAGTGTGCAAAAGTAAATGTCTAGCACCTGTTTCTGGGTGAAGAGGTTCTCCCCCTCCCTGCGCAGTTAATCCCCTGGGGTTCCAGGGCAATCAATGCTGGCAGGAGCATCATATACTCAAACTCAGTCTGTAAAAAGGGACGCTGGACCCGCTTTCCAGCAGGTGAAGCTCCCCACCAATAGATGGAGCCCCCTCCCAGGTGCTAGTGGTGTCTGCTCTTACCAGTGCCACTAACACCGAGGAGAAAAACCCTCTGATAAGCCAGTAGTGGCAACGGTGAAAAAGCTTTTAGGGGAGCCACCCCTCCTGCCTCCTGCCAGCAGTGAAGAACATCCAAGGAGGATCCGAGCCCCGTCCAGGATTTTTGTCCCAGCAGTTGCCACATCCGAGTGTTCCGGAATGCTGAGACCGCAGGGAACTTGAAATGGGGGAATGAGGGAGGAGATGGGATATGGTGGAGCAATGAGTGCAGCAAGGGCTCGCGTTGCGAACAATAATGTAACGGAGAAGATGGGGATTTTTGTCCATAGGGGATGTACGGGAGCGACGGGAAACAGTATATCAGGTGGATGAATGGGTGAGGGTAAAAGTAGCCCACTGATTGGGTATGGCACGGAAGGACTTCCCCTTCCGTAGCATAGCAGTTATGAGCCAGGCAAAGCACACTATGATTAGACACCAGCCTTATGGGTATAGGGGAGGATGCGACGGAGAAGCTGTTGACAAAGAGTGAGGCAGCCATGAGCTGGGGCTTGGCTTATTGTAAACGGATCAATGATTATTGTTTGACGACATATTCGCTCTCTGCAGCAATTGTGTATTGGAGCTCTGAGTGTGAATATACTCTCTTGCTTTCAACCAGGGTTGTCAGGCGGGGATCCCCTAGCGGCTGAGCCGAGGTGGGGGTTTGGCCCCCAGACCCTCGGAGC